TTTTATATAATTGATTAATCTATATCTACCTCTTAATACACCAACAGACATAAAAACAAGTTGGATTAACCTGTGAACAAGCATCAAATATATGAATGTAACTGCTCCGTTACACAAGCTGCACGAAAAGAAGTGTAGCCAGAAGTACAACACATGTTACCTTGGAAGCACCTTGAGCTTAATAAGTGATGGCGAACAAGATGTTGCAGCCCCAAGATATGAAGAAACAGCAGCTCAGTCAAAGTAAATATAAATATTTGATCAGTTTTGTGTGCAACTTTCTCATAGGTATGAATTTATGAATCTTTTCGGCCTGAGTCATCGCCTTACATAAAGCTGGAGCACATCGCTTAGAAGCTGCGCGAGTTGTTTATTGTTTCGTTGTGTTCTAGCGACACAGATGTGCGGCGCGAGCTTCTCACATGACACTTGAAAGAGGAGCACAGCTGCAATGAAATATTTTTTTTTCCGGAGCTGTTTCGCCGGTTTTCGCTCCTCTCACCAATCAAAGTGCAGCAGAAGAGAAAGTAGCGTTGTCAGGCATCACCGTCAAGCCGGTGCAGGGGCAGATGTGTCTTACATTTAGAGTGGAATGTGAATCCCCATTTTTCAAAGAGACTCACAAAATGTCCCAGATTTTTTTTTTTTTGTCCTGGATCAGACTGACTGTAGTGATCCAGTGACACCAATACAACAAAACATCCTGCTGCTTTCACTGTAACAAGGGTTACAAGCCGCTGTTATCTAGATGAACTACATTTAAGATTGTTTTCTCAAGCACTTGAATAATTGTTTGCTCTGTAAACTGTAGTTGAATGACAGCTTCCTAAAGCCCAATTACACATACAGAACTTCCCAAAGTTACAAAAACATCTGTCTGAATGCTGTAGGAAATTGTAATGATGATAAATAATGTGCAGTAAGATTATTTAAAACTGCGAGATGGGGCAGGATTAATTTTCTGTCAACTGACTAAACAATCAATTCACTCAAATGACAACAGATTGCTGACATTACACCATAGCAACTCCCTTTAATTGATCCACTATATTAAGTTGGTGAGACACAAAAAAGGAAAAAGCAAAGAAACACTCGGGATCGTGACCCGGTTTCCTGAAAACTCAACTGTGTCACAGCCCTTCCACCCTTCACCTTCACCTTAACCTGAACCATATGATGTCCTCAACTCTGGTTACCTCCAGAAATTAACCTTTAGCCTCCTCCGCTTCCTCCTTTTCCCGTTTCTATCCGTCAGTTCTCTGCTGTTTCATGGTTCACTCACCCCCTGACCCAAACCTGATGCTCAGATATCTTTTACACAGGATGTGGAGGCCTCTGTTTTTTTCCTTTTCCAAAATTAGATATCAATTATTTATCTTCTTACACAAACTCATAACAGAATGAGGGGGAGTAGGAAGCTGCTAGATCGGCAAAATAGCAGCTTTCTTAGATTGGATTCGTTTATTTGATTTTGATATTTTTCTACCCATATGTGTAAATTCTGGTATATATTTGTCTTATTGTCTTGTTTTATTTTTTAATTAATATTTATTGTATTTTATCCTTTTCTTTCTGTAGTTATTTTTACTTTATTTTATTTTATTTTTTAAATTTTTCTATTATTCGTGCTCATTCCTCGGGCGACACCAACAGCTGAAACCAAATTCCTTGTATGTTGTGTACATATTTGGCCGTTAAAGCTGATTCTGATTGAAGTATAATCTTGAGGTATTACAGCTTCAGTATTTTTTAAAATTTGTATAAATCAATAAATAATTTTATAAGTAATTTCTCTGATATAGAAGCTGGTTTTAGGGGGTTTATATAAAAGCCATTATTTGGTATTTATTCCATGAGCACAGCAGGGTGTACTTAATGTAGGAAATGATAAAAAGCTTCATATTTTACAGGTTAAAAATGATGTAGATATTTTCCAAACCTCTGCGAGAGAATGAGATATTCTACTTTACTCTGAGTTCAGTAGTCAGGGTTCAAAAAGGGCCTTGAGCCCCATATCCTCATCTTCAAGTAGACTTAAAGCTGGAATCTGCACTTTTCTCAATAATGTATAAGACCTGACACGTGCTAAAACACTAAATTAACTGCATGTTATACGTAGGTGAAGGTACAGATGGAGACTTTCCTCTCACCCCGCTGGGGAGAAATTGCTTCAGATTTGTCTGGAGGTCTGCTCCGGTGCATAACTTCATCACTTCAGTAAATAATTTATTCGCCGTGACATTTTCACTGTATGCCACCGAGTCCGTGTGACGTAGCTCCACAGAGCGGATGCTCGATCATCTTCACTGGAGTTTCAACCTGCAGAAAGTTGTGAATTTCAGCTTTAACTGACTGCTGTTTTTTTTTGTTCTTCGGTTCTGTCGATAGTAAACCTGATGCCTGTGTGTCTTCCTCTGCAGGTGATAGAGTGTATAACCCAGGGCAGGGTGCTGCAGCGCCCCAGGACCTGTCCTAAAGAAGTGTATGACCTGATGCTGGGCTGCTGGCAGAGAGAGCCGCACATGAGACTCAACATTAAAGAAATCCACGGTCTGCTCCTCAACCTGGCCAAGGCCTCACCTGTATACCTGGATATACTGGGCTGAACACAGGAGGAGGAAGAAGAAGAAGGAGGAGGGTTTTGGATGTGTGTGTGTGTGACGTGTGTGTGTGTGTGTGTGCATTTAGGTGAGGATGGTTACCGTATCTAAGCGTGTATGTGCATTTAGGGTTGCATGCATGTGTGTGTGTGTGTGTGTGTGAGAGTCAGGCTGGACATTGTGGCACCTCTGACTCAAGTGCGCAATGCTCGTGCAAGTGTGTGCGTGGAAGGCGCCGCTGTACAGGATGTGAAGCTATTATTAAACTCTTAAAGGCAATCAAAAAATTCCTCAACTCATCCCCAATCGCCTCTTTCCTCCCTGCCAATTTCCTCTCCTTTGTGCGTTTCGACTCTTTCCCTCCTTCCTTACAGAAGAGACATTTACTAAGAGTAATTTAACTTTGGAGGAGGAAAGAAGAAAAAAAAAAAAAAGAGAGAGATTCTCACTTCTTTTCAAATGCTTTAAACTGACTGGGGCTAAATTTGATAAAAAAACCTGATTAACAGGACTTTAAATTAAGAGACTCATCCCTTTGCTGCCTGTCGGACAACAGGACTCGTTTGAACATCCGGAAATTTCAAGGAGGCACAGCGACGAGGAGGGAGGATTTCCGGCAAAGCTTCGATCCTTTTCTTTTTTTTTTTTTGCGTGTAAATACGAGACATTTCAGAGGAAATGGCTCCGCGAGGTGTCGAGCCATAAAGACACTGTGTTTCCCCCCCTCGCCCCTGCCTCTCGCCCTGTCTGTTTATCTGTCCGTCTGTCTTTTTCGTCCGTCTCTCAGAACTGTACACGAGTATTAATGTCAGCATCCATCCAACGAGGCCACACAGGTGATGATTAACACGTCGGTACAGTAAATTGAGTGTAACAGCAAAAAAAAAAAAAAGGGAGGAGAAGCAAACACAATGTGCCGTCCTGCCTGTCGGAGAAAATTAGGAGTTGGTGTGAAAAGGTGATTTCTGGTTGGCCAGTTTTGCTGATACACAAACCAATCAGTGACAGAAGAGTGTTAGCTGAGGTTTAACTGAACAAGAGAGCCGAGGTATTCTGAATGCTGAACACCAGAAATTGTAAAAAAAAAAAGCTTCATCTATCCGGCACTGACCTCCAGTAATCGCTCATGCGGGACACTGATACATGATTTTACAGATATGTGCACTCACACTGCATTTTAACACTGTTTTTCTGCTCCGTATTACTTTATTACTCAGGCCTGGACTGCACTGTCATACAGCACAGGGTAACATGATGACTACTACCCCCCTCCCTCCGCCACCGAACTAAAGTGACAGCTGCTTCACTTGTGATGTCAAAGCGCTTCGTGTCGGAGGTCAATTGATTCATTTGTCCACAGCTGCCCAACAATCGCGAGATCGTGGCGTTGAGTTTTTTTTTTGGAGGGGAGGGGAGGGAGGGGAGGTGTAAAGGTTGCTTAGGGAGGCTGGGGTTTTTTCGAGTGGTCAGATCACGGTCAGATGTGTGGGTGGCGGCGCTGGAGAAGGTGTGGTTCATTTGGTCAACCCATATTAAATCATCAAGGCTCTCAGCACTCAGACATCCTTGAAAACCACATCTGCGCTGGAGAGGACGTACACGAAAACACACACACACACACAGTGTATACCTTATCCTGTCATCCCTCCATCTCCACACACACACACACACACACACACACACACAATGAAAGACACTCAAAACGGGGCCGAGAAGGAAATTGAATTGTGCATGTTTTATTATTTGAGCGGTGCAGTGCTTTAGCCAGGCCCCGTCCTCTGTAATGGTGTAATGTATATTTCATTACAGCCTAATGGGCTCCATTAGCACAGTCTCCTCACAGACATTCAAGACTTATTGTTTTATGGCTGAGAAGGAGGGATGGAAGGAGGGGAGGGGGGGGATAGGAGAGGTGAAGGAGAAGAAAACAGAAAGGGAGAGCGAGGGGCCTGGAACGAGGAGCAGCCGAGAGGAGAAACAAGAGCAGAGGTAATAATGCATATTGGGAAGAAATGGAGGGGAAGGGAGAGGGTTCAGAATGGAAGCAATGGGGTAGAAAGGAGAAGGCGATGGGGAGTGTGAAGGTACGAACGGGTCACACGGAGAAAGATGAAGGAGAAGGAGAAGATAGTGGAGTGAAAAGGGGGAGTGAGGGAGGGAGGGAGGTGTGAATGTCCTCAGGGAGAAAGTGAGAGCGAACATCCATCATTACTGTGGCCTGCAGTTGTTCTGTAAGCCACAACTTCAACTCCACGCTCCCATCACATTCCTATGGCTACCCTCAACCACACACACACACACACACACACGCTCAGACTGAGACACGCACACACACTCTCACTCCTCATACATTTTCCTGGCAATCCACCAACAGCTTACACTGAAAATAAACTCAATAATGTACCACACATCCCCATTATTGAGAACCACTTCACTCACTTACAGCACAGCTCGCATATCTGGACGCTTACAGACACACACTGTATATATACGGCTCACATGCATGCAAGGAAACACATTTAAACGTTTGTTTTTGTTTTTGTTTTTTTTGCATTTTACTGGGGCATATTTTACTCTTTCCGGAAGTATTAAAGAAGTCATACTCACTGCGGTTTCACTAACAGCCATTTTAAATTAGATGTAAAGCGTCGATCTGGAATTCGAAGTCTCGTCTGTTTATTAACAACAGCACTTGATGGTATTGATGTTTGTGAATTTTGAAAATGTTGATTTTGTTGATTTATAGTATTATTATTATTTATAAATTAAGAAGCATTTTTGTACATTTCTTTCTATATCTGAGGTTGCCTTTTTTGCAACAACCAACTGACTGAAATCGAATTAGTTCATTATGTTTTAGCAAATGTGTAAAGATAATCTTGAGTGTATATGTATTTTTAATGTCAGGCTCCCCTCCACCCCTTAACAGCAACCGAGCCTGTCCTCATGTACAGCCTGCTCTACAACAGGAATGGATGTTTCACCGGTCTGTCACATTTGTACATTCAGTCTGACATACTGTGAAATTATTGTCACCTGTTGGAGCGCACGTGTGAAGGGTTAACGGCATTGACAGCACAGGCTAACGAGGTCCTCAAAAATCCATCCCTGCTGTATAGTCAAGTAGAGTTTGCACTGAGTGAGCGCACTCAACTCGATTCAAAAAAATAAAATAATAAAAAAAAATAACTTGCCACACAATATCTCTGTGCAATAACAGAGGGCAGGGTGTGTGAGAGGGCCCCGCGTGTGAGCTGGAAAAAAACTGTGAGAAACAAACGCAGCGCAGACCAACGCCTCTGATGTCCAAAAGAGTAGCGTTACGCGGACGCAACATCTCAGCCGGCTGCGCTGCTTGTGTACTTACCTGCTGTGTTTTCCTGTTTTTTTTTTTTTAAATAAAAAAATAATGAACTGTGTCAAGGTGGACGGCGGTGCTGCTGCTGCTGCTGCTGTAGTAGTAGTAGTAGGAGGCTGTGGGAGGCATGTTTGGTGTGGTGAAGATTGATCGGCCGTCTTCACGTCGATGCCTCAGATCAAAGATTTTAGTCAAACAAAGAGAAAAAAAAACAACTACGAGAGGAAAAACAACTGCTGTATGAACGGACACCTCAGACAAGGAGGGACTGACAATCACAGACTTCTCTCTTTCTCTCTCTTATTCAAGTGACCTACTGTAAAATAGACTATTCAACCAACGTTCCTCTTCTATGCTGCCTATACTGTATGTGATAGTCTTCAACTTTGGTCTTTAGAAGTGCTACTTTTTTTTTCTTCTTTTTTTTGTAAAATGAAATAACAGCGAGAGGAATGAACAAAAATACGTGTACAAATGTGAATAAGCTGCTGGAAGAAATAAGCGTCGCTAAACTGCTGTGTCCGAGACTGTGTCAGTATCTAGATTGTACTATTTTCTTCTTTCATCTTAGAAGTTGGAGGGCAGAGAAATGGGAAGCTGCATGGGACTCACAAAAATACACAAAATGACATACAGCAGCTCCCCCCGGGATGCGGAGCGCTGTTTGGTCATTCACCCGGGGAGGTGTTTGTATGTGTGTGTGTGTGCATGTGTGTGAATGTGTGTGTGTGTGTGCAAAGAAGGCTGATTGATGCCGGAGTGAGTCAGGAGGGATCTGTAGGCCGAGTTCGAGACTCCAGCCAAATCCTAGTTCAAATGCAATGAGATTCAACACAGGAATCCGTAATTGATTTGTTGTCGCTGTTCACCAATTCATGATAAATGACTTTACCCAGTCGTGTAGGACTGCGGTTGGTATTATGGCAGCTAAGATTTATGGAATCAATCAATTGCTTTTATTTATGACTCCGAAATCAGCCTTCTTCTCGACACAGCTTACTAAAGCCTGAGTTTCACACAGGTAGTATATCAGCAATATATACGGATATTTTTTTCCTCCGCCTGTCGCCTCACTCCGACACAGTTTGAGCAGAGTTTGGGCTAAAAAAAAAACAAAAAACAACCATGTGACTCAGTGTGGACAGAAGCATATTCCACCGAAAGTAGATACACATCACAACTTTGAGTGTGTTATGATCCATATCGCATTTAATCCCCCCACTCTCGCACAACCCCAACATCAAAGTCTGAGCTAATAGAGCTGAAATATCATAAAGGTCATCTTTGAGATTACCTTTGTGCTTGGATGCTTCTGGAGCCCCAACGCCCTGAAGAATGTAATACCACCAAAACCGCTTCTCTGCAAAGAAAAAAGAAAAAAAAAAAAGAAACTGTGATTTGCTATATGCAGTATGTTTTTTTTTTGGTAATATTTTTTTATTCTTATTATTATTTGGTTCTGTGCTGTATGTCTCTTGTGTTTAGAAGATTTCACTGCTGCCACCGTGACATATATATATATAAAAAAAGAGGAGGATTTAGGATGTTTTTTGTGGGTGTTTGGATTGTAAGAAGCTTAAAATCGGACGGGAGGACAAAACTGCTGTGAGGTGTACGTATGAACGAGCTGTTAAAATGTTATTTCTAT